AATGATTTGAAAAGTCATAATATGAAACACCATCAATATGAATTATTTATATATGGTTAATTAGCTTCAAACTAGAAATGTTCTGAGAATATTTTCTTGACTATGGCAACTTTTCTCTGTTTTGTAGCAGGAATAATACCACAAAAATATGTATAGGGCCGGCCCTGTGGCTTGGTGGTTAAGTGCGCGCGCTGCGATGCTGGCGGCCCGGGGTTCGGATCCCGGGTGCGCATCGAGGCACCACTTCTCTGTCCATCCTGAGGCCGAGTCCCACATACAGCAACTAGAAGGGTGTGCAGCTATGACATACAACTATATCTACTGGGGCTTTGGGGGCAAAAAATAAAATAAATAAAATCTTAAAAAAATAAAAAATAAAAAAAAATAAAATAAAAATAAAAAAAAATATATGTATATAAAATATCAGTCCCATCTGGTGTGGTAATAATGTGTTATCAAGTTAGTGATAAATATTATTGCATTCTTTGGCCCATCAAAAAAGAAAGCAAGAAATTTATTTTAAAAGTTTTAATATTTTGTCTTTCATCACTCTAATGTGTCATCCAAATGCATTTTTGGAATAGTTTTATTAAGATATAATTCACATACCACACAATTCACCCATTTAATGTGTATAATTCAATGGTCTTAAGTATACCCACAGAGTTATTAAATCATCACCACAATTAAATTTAGAACATTTTCATCATCCCAAAAAGAAACTCTCTACCCATTAGCAATCACCCTCCATTCTCCCTCCCCACTGCTGCTAACAACTACTTTCTGTCTCTATAGATTTGCCTATTCTGGACATTTCATATAAATGGAGTCATACGATATGTGGCCTTTTGTGTCTGTCTTCTTTCACTCAGCAAAATGTTTTCAAGGTTCATCCATGTTGTAGCATATGTCAGTACATTATTCTTTTTTATCACCAAATAATATTCCACTGTATGGATATACCACATATTGTTTATCCGTTCATCAGCTGATGGACATTTGAGTTGTTTCTGTTTTTGGCTATCATGAATAATGCTGCTGTGAACATTTGTGTATAAATTTTTATGTGGACATACGTTTTCATTTCTCTTAAATATATGCCTAGAAGTGAAATTGCTGGGTCATATGGTAACTTTATTTTTAATCTTTTTTGTGTGTGTGTGTGTGAGATCAGCCTTGTGCTAATATCTGCCAATCCTCCTCTTTTTTTTTTTTGCTGAGGAAGACTGGCCCTGGGCTAACATCCCTGCGCATCTTCCTCCACTTTATATGGGACGCCGCCACAGCATGGCTTGCCAAGCGGTGCATTGGTGCGTGCCTGGGATCCGAACCGGCGAACCCCAGGCTGCCACAGTGGAGCGCGCGCACTTAACCGCTTGTGCCACCGGGCCAGCCCCATATGTTTTATCTTTGAGGAAATACCAGAGTGTTTTCCACAGTGACTGCATCATTTTACCTTGCCACCAGCAGTATATAAGGGTTCCAGTTTCCCCACATCCTTTCCAACGCTTGTTGTTATCTGTCTTTATGAGCATAGCCATCCTGGGGCTGTGAAGTGGTATCCAGATGCATTTTTAAGATGCAAAAACATGGAAATACATTGGTTAAGGAAGTAAAATTTTTATGACAAGGAAAGCATGAAGAGATCAGGAAAAAGATCCTGCTGTCGGAAAAGGAAGTAGGAGATGTTTTTAAGTCTGTTACTCAATTTCATGTCCTTATGCAACCAACTGCCCTTACCCGAGTCTCAGGATTGTGGAGCTAGCCCTCAGTTTCCCATCTGGAGCTTATAATAATTATAACAGCAACTAATCTTGGTTTATTGACTTATTTTACAAAGTTCCTTCCCATGTTATATCCCATTTGATCCACCACCACAAATCTTACGTGGAAGTATATTACTATTCCCATTCTGCAGGTAGGGAGGCTCAGGCCAAGAGTAGCTAACTGACTTGCCCAGGGGAACATAGTTAAAATACATACAAACATACATATATTCAGACATAAATAAATATTAATAAATAAAACTCATGGCTGGGCCTGGAAGCCAAAATTTTTATTTCAAATCCCAATTCTTGGTTTCTTCTTTCCTTATCACCTTCAATTTGCCTCATCTTTGATGACCCAGAAAGTAATGAAAAAGCAAGAGAGGGCAGAGGAACTGTGTGTGTGTGTGAAGCAATTAGAAGCAGAAGGCCAAGGGGCAGGCCCGGCGGCGCGGCGGTTGAGTGCGCGCGCTCCGCTGCGGCGGCCCGGGGTCCGCAGGTTCAGATCCCCGGCGCACACCGACGCACCGCTTGTCAAGCCATGCTGTGGCGGCGTCCCATATAAAGTGGAGGAAGATGGGCATGAATGTTAGCCCAGGGCCAGTCTTCCTCAGCAAAAAGAGGAGGATTGGCAGATGTTAGCTCAGGGCTGATCTTCCTCACAAAAAAAAAAAAAAAAAAGCAGGAGGGCTGCACATGACAAAGTCCCCACAATCAGACTGTGAGAGCAGCTAGGGATGTAAAGACATGCTGTGACAGTGACAGAAGGATGGCTGCGTTCCCACTCCTTTATGAGAGGTTGCTCCAGCAATCAAGAAGCCAGGGCATATGGCCTCTTAAATCCTTAAATGCTGATATTATATTATCTCTACTTACAGTAGTATATTAAGTTACATACACTAGACATTCAAATATTTATTGAGTAATTACTATGTACTAGGCACAGTGCTAAGATGGTTGAGATTTTTAAAAAGCAATGATCACCATTTTCCAAGGTAAAATTTAATAGCTTACATTTACTAAGCCTTTTCCATGTAGCATCTCATTTCACCCTCACAAAATTCCTGCAAGTGAAGTGGAAACTGAAGCCCAGAGAAGTTGAGTAAATTGTCCCCAAGTCACCGAGGTAATACATGGTGGAGGCAGCCTGGTTCTCTACCCTGTGTTCTTAACCACCACCTGATCCTTCCTGCCAGATCTCCCTTGGCTGGAAGTCACACGTGGTGACGCACAGAGACCAATAATACTAATTAATTCCAGCAAACATTTGTTGAATGCTCATTAATATACGAAGCCCAGGAGCAAATTCTCACAACAACCCCATGAAGTACTTATCTTCATTGCCATTTTACAGATGAGGAAACAGAAGCTCAGAGAAGTGCATGAACTTGTCCCAGGCCACAGAGCTATAATAGCTAATGCTGACATGGTGCTTACTATACACCAGGCACTGTTCTAAGCACTAACTCATCTAATCTTCACAACAGCAGTAGGAGGTAGGTTCCATCATTACCCATCATTCTTAGTTAAGTAACTTGTCCAAGGTCCCACACTAGTAAGTGGCAAACCCAGGATTCACTCTGCCTTAAAGTCCTGGTCAAAACAACTAATACTGACTCTTGGCTACAAAGTGGCTGAGCAGAAATTCAAAGCCAAATCTGTCTAACTCTTGAGTGAGAGAGAGCCCTCTGTCTTCTTACCAACAAGCTAAGCATGGCCCTCAAACCTGCTGCAGTGCAGAGCCGGGCTAGAGAACAGGGGAGTAACAAGTGCTCTGGGGACATTTAAAGTGCACCTTGAAGGAGAAAGTGCTTGCTGGACAGAGGGGCAACATACAATTTATTACTTTAAAGGAAATAAAAAGTACTCAATTGAGGAGCAAATAAATTCTTAAAAAGAGTGTGTTTCAGATTGAATCAGAAAAGCTTTATCTTAAATTTTTTCAATTAATAAATACTCTTGATGAAGGACAAGCTTTTATTCCCTTTAATTTTGACTATACGTTAAAAAATCAAGGAACAGAAATGTCTAATCTGCCTTTTGTAACGTTAAAATCAATTAATTCTGACTTCCAATATTTACTTCCTCAATCAAAGCGTGCCAAGCAGAGTGGTTACCAAACCTTCAGGGATCTTTGCAAGATTCTCTCTCCTTCAGGTCATGAAACACAGCATTTAGAAACCAAAATGAACCTGGAGACTTAGGCCAGGAATTAGAAGGAACAGGCGCGCTCGTCGTTCCGACGGAGCCGGGGTCGGCGTGTAAGTTGCCGCTGAAAGGCGGCAGAGCCAGGGTTTTTTCCCTGGCAAACTGATTTATGATCACAAGAAGGGCAGCTGCCGAACCGGTCAGACCATACGAACAATTCTCAAACATGAATCCAAGAAGGACTAAAATGGGATGGGAAGGGGTGGGGGTGGGTGTGGGGGTGGCTATGGGGGTCACTGCCTGTCCTAGGCGCGGTGAGACCCAAGTCCTAATTCTTGCAGTAGCTCGGGGCCAATGGACTCTGTTGCCCAAAATGTGCGCGCTGGGGGAGTTGGCACAGCAGCAGGGCAGCCGGACAAGGTGCCTCCACGCCCCCTTGCGGACCCAAATGATGACTAATAAGGATGTGCCAATTTAGTGGTAGGCACAGCGTTTCACAGATGTTCTCTCAGTTTAGCGTCCACAACAACCCTTCAAGGGAGTCGCGCTGATCAGCCCCATTTTACAGATGAAAACCCTAAGGCTCAGGAGAATGAAGCAAGCCTTGCCAACAAAAAGGAAAACCTTAAGTGAAGGCGATCGTCGGGCTAGTTCCTTTTACCTAGGAGTAAAGGGGCTGGGGCCGACTGGGGGCCCCACACCGACCCCTCTGGCTGTCTGGGCCGACTAGGCGCGCGCTGTCAGCCGGGAGGCCCGGCAGCACCCAGGTGCCTGGGAAGAGGGAGCGCGCGGTGGGTGGTAGTGCATCTGCGGGGCGCAGGGCTGCAGCAGCGGGGCGAGGGCGCAGCTCGCTCCACCCGCTCGGCGGCGTTCGCCCCGAGAGCCCCGCGCCAGCCCCGCGTCCGCAGGGCACCGGGCTGCAGGAACTAGGCGGGAGCGCGGCGCGGACAGTCCACGCGCCCGCAGCCGTCCCGGAGACCCGCGCCAGTCGCCAGCCACGAGCCACGGAGCGCGTGTGCGCGAGACTGCTGCGGACGCGGGCTGGCAATGCCACCGCGAGCCCCCTGGCACTGCCCCTCGCCTTACCGTAGCTGCTCCCCGGTGACCAGGACCTCAGCCATGCGCTCCAGCTCCCTTTGCTGCGCCCCACCACTCCCGCTGGTGCTGCTGTCGCTGCCACCGCTGCCGCCCTCCTCCATGGTCGGGACCACGCCGCTACCAACTGTCTTCGCTGTCCTCCGCGGGTTCGGGTGTTAAATCAGTCTGCCCTCACAGAGGCCTCCCTCGCCATCTTTGGTAGGGGCAGTCCCGTTGCTCAGACGCGATTGGCTGGAGAGGGAATCCCTGTGGGTAGGCTAAGGCGCTAGGCGAGTCCGCCCCAGGAACTCCAGCTTGGGGGCGTGGCTGGAGCCCCGCGTGGTCAGGCGGCGGGGCCGACGGAGGAAAAATATAAACATCTGGGCGGGGCGTCGGTTCTGCGCTGTGTGTGCTAGTGAAGATCGAATTCGACGAGCGCAAAGCTCATGCAGTAGGATCCTGGGGTCAGGCTGGAAGAGTACTAAACAAGTGTGAAGGTATTTTTATTTTACTGTCCATACCCCAAATTATCAGAGAGTAAAAATAACAATATAGCTAAATAGTGAACACTGAAGATTATACATGTCACTGAAAAATCTATGTCACATCATATACATGTCACTGGAAAACTTAAGCATTCTTCTTGCCCCAACCCCCTCACCAAAGACAGCTTAGCAGCCTTATGGTGTAATCAATAAAGAACGCAGGCCTGGGAATCAGACAGCCCTGGGATCCAGTTCCACTCCTGTAATTTCCTACCTAAATGTGCTTAATCCTCATTTCTTCCTTTACAAAATAAAAATAATTGTGGCTACCACCTGTTGATATCTGCTGCATTAAAGATGCTTCATTCAAAGTACATTGTTACTTTGTTTAAATATTGCAATAAATCATAAAATGGGTATTGTCCTCATTTTACATCAGGAAGCTGGCTTGGAAAGGTGAGGTAACTTATCCAAAGCAAGCAGATAATAAGTGCAAGAAGTAAAATTCAAAGCCAGGACATTCTGGCTTCAAAGTTGGGTTCTTGAAAAACTGCCTCTTAAAATGGGGTTGTAATAGTATTGTCTACCTTACAGGGAATGTGGAAGGAACTTTGACTAACGACAAATAAATGTTCTGTTTTTTTGTCTCATGCAAGGTCAGAGCCTGGTCTGCAGGAAAGCCAAGTGACGCTAGTGACAGTGGTCATGGCTGTAGTAAAGAGATATTTGTTTTGTTTTGTTTTTGGTGAGGAAGATCAGCCCTGAGCTAACATCTGTTTCCAATCTTCCTCTTTTTGCTTGAGAAAGACTGACCCTGAACTAACATTTGTGCCAGTCCTCCTCTATTTTGTATGCAGGATGCCACCACAGCATGGCTTAACAAGCAGTGCATAGGTCCACGCCCAGGATCCGAATCTGGGAACCCTGGGCAGCAGAAGCAGGGAACACGAACTTAACCACTACGCCACCAGGCTGGCCCCAATATATTTGTGTATTGACATTTTATGCAGCTTGCTACAATTTTTGCATATATACAAGTCTCTGCACCCTTACATCAGGTAAATGTAAGGCTTTTTAATTAATACTATCTTGGAAGACATAATCTGTCAATTGCAGATATGTAGTAGTGAAGCTGGGTACCTGAGGGTTACCGTAAATATTCAATAAGATTACCTTTCAACCTTGTTATGAAAAGAAGTTAATCTTGTGAATTTGCTATTTTCTCCTTTAACCTGAGGGGTAACTCAAGGGTCACAAGGATTTATGAGCTTGTTTTACAGAAGAAAGAGAATGCCTTCAAAGATCACCAGATAACCAGTGCCCAGCTGCCGATGATGCCCAGAAGTCAGATTGCCCAAGGGCTTATCAGGAGTGAAAGAAACATAGATTACCCCTTTGTTTCTCTGAAGTGCCTCCTGCCACATCCCTTAGCTCTATAAAACCCCCTGCTTTCTTGTCTTGTTAAGGTGGATTTGAGTGAACCCATGCTCCTGACTTCTCCTCTTGGTCAATTCAAATAAACCTTTCTCCATCTCCAAACACTGATGTCTCAGTGTTTGGCTTACTGTGCATTGGGCACACAAACTTGAGATTAAGAGGTTCGGTATCAGTAGAAGTCTACAAAATAAACAGGAAAATGAGGGTGCTATTGAAAACCACCTTATCTTCTGCTATCCAAGAGTATTTATACCCATTATCCTGCAGGCTTATTATATTTTATTGTTCTGTTTTGTTGTTATTTTTTTTTTTAAAGAAGATCACAGTAGCCTTTTCCAACATTCTACAAGATCACTCCTTAAATTACCTTAAAATTTGCAATGCTTCTTTGAACATTTATTCTATGCTTTACATGGAGCTAAGCACTATATATTACTTAGTTTATCCTCACAAAACCCCTGAGAGTTAGGTATTATTATTTTCAGTTTTAAAATGAGAAAGCTGGGCCGGCCCCGTGGCTTAGCGGTTAAGTGCGCGCGCTCTGCTGCTGGCGGCCCAAGTTCAGATCCCGGGCGTGCACCAACGTACCACTTCTCTGGCCATGCTGAGGCCACGTCCCACATACAGCAACTAGAAGGATGTGCAGCTATGACATACAACTATCTACTGGGGCTTTGGGGGAAAAAATAAAATAAATAAATAAAATGAGAAAGCTTAAGTTTGGAAACATGAATTAATTTGCATAAATTTTACACCTAGAAAGTTGGTTAGGCAGCCCTTGAACCCTAGCTCTGTAGACTCTCAGGTCCATGCTCAACCACATTCCAGAAAGAAAACAGTTGTCCAACTCTCTCCTGAGTCCAACAATAGATAAGCAACTCTTTCACCAAAAGAAATTATCTACATTTCTTAACTTTTTAAGTAGACTATGGTAAAAATGTAGAATGAGGGAGACATATTTCCAGGAGAATGTGATTCTAAGAGCCTCATTCTGCATAAAGGATAAAAATCATTTGACAGACGTAGAGGTCCCAAAGTTAATCTGATTAACAGCTGGCTGTTGCTCGTGTTTACTCCTATAATTATTACATAGAGTATCAAGAGTTTGCAGGGGCTTCACACTCAAACATGCAGTTTCTATCCTGATTCTGTCATTTACTAACAACCTTATGCAACCTGATGCTGGTTACTTAACGTCTCTGAGCCTCAATTTCTTATCCATAAAACAGGAATAATAATTTCTACCTTGTAGGGATGTTGTGTGGCTTAAATGAAATAACATTATGTAAAGTTTCCACTTACATGATACGTGTTCAATAGCTGGTCTCTTTAATATCATTACTGCTTTTAATAATAATAAGAGGAGGAAGAAGAAGGAGAGGGGAAGGAGAAAGGAGAAGGAATAGAAGAAATTCTTGCCAGATACTTTCCATTAGGAATTTTCGATGCTAGATGAAACGCTTTTTCTCAAGTTAGCTCTAATTAATTTTTAAATTATTAGTAGGCCTTCAAAATGAAGAAAAAAGAAGTGCAGACCTGGCCTCACTAAATCGCTCTTTGATTTAATGGTTTTAAGCTTTTTAAAAGTGCAGAATGAAAAAACATTAAATTGTTACACATTTCTGATTTTCTATTGTTCAAGCAACACTTTGTTTTACCCAAAAGCTCTACCGACATACTGTAAATCATATCACTATTATGAATGTCTTTTATTTTTCTCCCTTTTATATCTAGTTATGTTTTCATTTAAATTCAGGCAGCCTTCTTTATCTGAAAAATTAAAAAAATGTTTTCTTGTAAAATACTTGCTTGTTTAATAGTTTCTGATAAAAAGTTTATGATTAAAAAAAATTTTTAGGGGCCAGCCCAGTGGCATAGCGATTAAGTTCACGTGCTCTGCTTCGGCGGCCCGGGGTTCACAGGTTCGGATCCTGCGCACAGACCAGTTCACTGCTTGTCAAGCCCAGGGCCAATCTGCCTCAGCAAAAAGAGGAGGATTGGCATTGAATGTTAGCTCAGGGTTAGTGTTCCTCACCAAAAAAAAAAAAAATTTATCATAAAAGTTTATGATGAAAAAAAGCACCTTAACATAAGTGAAAAAAATCAAGTCGGGAACGTACCTGATACCACTACTCCAGTGAGAGAGAGAGAGCAGAATTTATTTTTTGTACTTCACAAGATGGTTTTGTGTGTGTCTAGATGTGAACAGGAAGTGGGGAACTAGTTTGCTGTTATTGTTTTAACCTTTCTTTTGACATAGGAGACACACCATGCTCCATTGGGTTAGAAGAGAGACTCTTTTTCCTAACTTAGGGAAAGATTAGTCAACTGACTCCTGAGGACATGTGAGCACCCATGCAGGACGGTGAGCTCTGGAGCAACTGGTCTTAGAATAGACTGTGATCTACAGGTATTGATAGAAGAGAGAAGGGCACTGACAAGGCTATTCATCCAGCATAAAGATCTTAGAAGGGCTGAGAATTCCAGCAGATCTTAGTTTGATTCCTGGCTCCATTGGGGCAAGTTCATTATCTTCTCTGAATTTTTGTCCTCCTTTGTAAAGTCAGGATCATACCATCGATCCTATTGGGTTGTTGGGAGGATTAAATAAAATTTACCGAATGCACTTGCTACAGGTGGAAACTATTAAATGTGAGCCTTGTCCTCCAGCTCACCTCACTCACCTGCTCTATGCCTTCTGGCTCTTTGGGTGCTCTGGAGCCAGTGCTTTTCAAATTTTTGGTGGGGAAGACTGGTGTGTGTGTGTGTTTTCAATCCTTTGAAGACTGATACTTTGTTTAAATACAATAAAAATGAAATAAAAAAACATATGAAGCACAAGCCCCAATTTTGTGTGTGTGTGAGGGAGATTGGCCCTGAGCTAACATCTGTGCCCATCTTCCTCTATTTTGTATATGGGACACCGCCACAGCGTGGCTTGATGAGTGGTGCCTAGATCTGCACCCTGGATCCGAAACCGCGGACCCAGGCCGCCAAAGCTGAGCGTGCAAACTTAACCACTACGCCACTGGGCCGGCCCCACAAGCCCAATTGTTTACTGTCGTGGTCAACAGACAGAAAATTGTCAAATTGCTATAAATGTTTCTAAATGAGTTCTCCCAATATCTGTATGTCTCAATGTCTCTCATTAGAGGTAATGGTCTCCAGTTGGCAGACCACATTTTGAGTAGCACTAGTTAAGGGTGAGCAGCAGTGTGAGAAGACGAACTTGAATAAAAAGTGTGAAAGATTATTTTCAACCACAAAGCTTAATAACATGTTGCTGTCATTATTGTTGTTGCCTCTTAATATATACCCGGATTAGTCCCACCTAATCTTAAAGACTAACTCAGATCCCATCTTCTCTGTGACATCTTCTTGCG